TCACGTGCCATCTCCTCTAAGAAGGTTGGCAACCATCATGGCAATTCGCACTTTCGACGCCGCTGCTCTAAAGAGGTCAGCAGAAGTGCAGTTAAACCAAGCTCTCAAATTATTTAACCAGGAGATTCGTCTTCTTCCGCGACTCCTTATACCCTGTATTCTTCCTTGCATTATTAATTGCAACAAGTTAGAACGCTTGCCCCTCATAACATGTACCAGATATTGCAGTTTTCTGACTTTAACTGTATTTAAGACCTGTTTATCTGTACCCATTCTTCTCAACACCTCGACATTCGTGACTCTATTTACCCAACTTATTCTTAATATCCTTCTGTAGGCCCATAACTCGAAGGCTTCCAATCTGTCCGCAACATCTTTCTTTAAAGTCCAAGCCTCCAATCCATAAAATAATACGGAGAACACGAAGCATCTCAGAAGTCTTATCTTTAAAGAAATTGAAATGTCCCTGCTGCAGAATACTTTTTTAAGTTTGTTCAAAGAATTTCTTGCCTGTCCTATTCTTGCCTTAATCTCTTCTGTGTACTCATTATTTTCATTAATTATTGTACCCAGATATTTATATTTTTAAACTTTTTTAATTTGTTCTTCATGTATTGTTATGCTTTCTTGGCGCTATTGGGCTTTTGAAATTACCATAGATTGTGTCTTTTTTTGTATTTAGGAACAGTCGTCGACAAACCGTATATTATTGATTCGTCGGTCATTTACTTTTATTCCCATAGTTAGTTCTTCTAGTGCTTCCTGGATTATTTACTCTGAATACAATTTAAACAAAATAGAAGACAGAACATAGCCCTGCTTGACGCCCCTCTCAATCTGTATTTCATTTGAAAAGACGTTGTTCTCTTTTACCACAGCGATCTGATTATAATAATGATCCTGATGTCTCTCATATCTAAGTTTTTCTTTTCAAGTAATTCGATAAGACGGTTATGTCTGACCTTATCGAAGGCTTTGTTGTAATCCAAGAAACACATATATACTGGCTGATTAACATCCATGCACCTTTGCACAAGTACATTCACAGCGAATTCCCTCGTTCCCAGTGCAATTTCTAAATCCAAATTGTGTCACTTATGTCCTGCTCAAGTTTGTTGTGTATTCTCCGGTGTATACTTTTTAAAAATATTTTAAGCGAATGACTCATTAAACTTATTATCCGGTGGTCTTGGCATTCTTTTGCATTTGGTTTTTTTGGTAGTGTTATGAATGTTGACATCAGCCAATCTCTGGGAATGATTCCTGTACTGTATATTGTATTGAATAAGTCGACCAATATTCCAATTTGCTGTTCTTCTATTTACCGTATTATGTCTACAGTTATTTCGTCAGGACCTGTTGCCTTGTTATTCTTTGTTCGCTTTATCGCCTCTAATACCTGACCTTCTGTTATGTCTGGGCCGTTGTCGAACTTCGAAGTAGAATACTTTAAAAGTATGTTAATATTTTTGAAGTGCGTTTTTAAGACTACTATTGGAGAATAGTTTATTTGATTTATTTAAAAGTTTATTTTAAATAAATTTTACTTTAAAAATACCTATCAAAAATTGACGTGTGATTGTATTTAAAAAAATATAATCACAAGCAATCATGATAGTTAGAGTATCTCATTATTAATTCTATAATAGATTATGAAGAAAACTCAGTATATCATCCTATGGTAGTTGGTGTGATTCCCATATCTTCGATATATAATTGACTTAAATAGTAGTATTTTATATTTATTGCTTTTTACATCTCACATTGGTAACCAAATCCCTTTAGCTATTGAGAAATTTGGGATGCAATTGGTTTCATTTAACAAAACGTGAGCATCTTCTTTAATTTTTCTCTTTTTGTCATCTGTTTATCTTAGTTACACTACACACACTAACCATTTGGTTGAATTTTATTTATAGTCCTGAATGAAACATAATATGATTAAAAGGGAAAAATCAAAGAAATTGCCAAATATAATACATGTTATAGCATTTTTAAATTGCTTGATATGTATTGAAATCCGCTCGTATATATTTAAAACATCCAAGAATATTTTTGGTGTATTCCCAAGTATTTCCTATTCGTACAAGCTAAAAGCACCCAAAAAGTATTTTCAATTCGTGTTTGCGTCGCTCAGTTGATATAAACCATAATTTAGTAGTTTGGTTATATTTCACAGATGCGTATTTTCTCGACGTTCTTTTGATCAAAGCCGCTTTTAGGATATTTTGCGTTCCCGATCCCAAAGTGTTTTGTTTATACCAAGTTAAGCGAATGATCTTTAAGAAATAACTCACTCTCGATGGAGCCACTGTCAAAGGCAGTTGGTGTCCGTGTTAGTCCGAATTTAGCTTCAAATTCGTAGTTTTTTTTATTTCTCGCCATTCTTTATGGAAAATAAGTAGTTTTGTGGTAGTTAATAGTAGCTGCTCAATGAATAGTTACAGTTTTAAGAGAGGTTTTGAAAAATAAATAAATTTTGCCATTGTGTTTAATTCCACCTGTTCCAGTTTTTTAAGGAGAATAGTTTCCAAAGTTTGTGTTCAATGCCCCAATTTCCAATCTCAATTATTTGCAGTGTGATATGAAGTTTTTGTTTGTGAGGAAGAGAGTTTGAGCTCAGTTCTACCCCCCGAAATTCCAGTAAAATCTAGTTTCCACCCCCCAAATTTTTGTATAAAACCATAGTGCAATCCAGGTTACTTTTGTGTTTAAATTTTAAAGGAAAAATAAGACTAAACATTTTTATTAATAATTGCTTTCATAAGAGTTTAAAAAGATATTTTTTTTATTTGTAATAAATTACTTCTGCCATAAATCATAGCCCAGTAACAATAGTAAGTTTTGTAGTATTTCCAACTCCCAGAGTTTGTAGACGGCTAGGACATAGTAAGTGTTTCTCTTTGTTATTTTTGTATTTACTTTTGTGACTATTGTTATAGTATTTTTGTATTGTCTATTTTTGTAACTGTTTGTAGTAAGACGACCAAATTTTTTCCCCAAATCATTTTATTTATTTCTCTTAATTAACCCTCTAACCCCTTTTTTGAGTTTCATTTAAAAAGATATATTTTTTCTTTTCTAATAAATATTTTAATAGTTACAACTAGTTGTTGTAATCGTTATAATTTGGCACCTCGAAGCAGTGTCCCATTTTAAATATCTAGAGGACCTTTTGTTATTTTGTTTGTTCCAAAAGACTTGTGTAAGTACTCCTTTGTTTTATTTTTGTAGTAGCCCCAATCCAACCCCCTTGCCATTCATTTATCCTCGACCCAGCTCCCTAAATAAACCCTGAGTGCTGTTCGCATAAGTTTCTTTTATTTTGCTTGCCCTATCTCCACTAGGATGGCGGTGTTTAAAAAAACAGCGGTTTTCGGTTATACCGATTTTTTTGCTTACGGTTTAACCTGGCAGTTATAACCGGCCAAAAAAACCGGTTTTTCCAAAAACCGGTTTTCGATTTCTTTAATCCAATAGATTAGAAAGTTATATTTACAATGCACTTTAGTGTGCGATACTACATTCGACTCGATATCAATATGATCAAAATTAGTACTATCGAAAGAACATCGATATCAATGTAAATACATCACAATTTTTTGTGTTTTGTGAGAAAAAAATTCCCCAACAAAAATTTCCCAGACTCTTTCAAATGGGATTTAAAGAAAATAATATCAACATACATATTTTACTTAAAAATAAATTTGATAATGCAATTCATCTTTTATTTTTACTACCATCAAAAAAATATCATGTATTACTTTTAACTCATTTACGACTTCTGGTATGGGTATAAATCGTTTTAAAAACGAGGGAAATCCTTAGGGATTCGTATTCGTAATCGGTAATTCGATATTCATAGTCATTATTTTTTGTAATCAAAAACCCACCCACCCAAAAAAATTCACCCACTTTCAATGTCAAGAATCAAGTGTGAAAAATAGATGATGTATAATTACCAGATCAGTTCTTATGTAAAAATATTATAATTACACATACTTTTTTAACGAAATACTATAATAAAATTTAATTGTTTCTGGCTGATGTGAGCTTGCACTTTTAGTTTGCTTCTGTATTTATAAAATAAAATAAAAATTGAATTTTAGTTTTGTTTGGAATAATTACTTGAGAATAATAATTTTGATTGGGTGGGATCCAAAATAATACCAAACCTAATCCTAATCACTGTAAAAACCTAATAACCGGTTTTTACTTTAAAAATAAAAAACCGTTTATAACCGGGACAAAAAACAACCGATAAAACCGGTTATTTCGAAGTAAAAAAACCGGTTTTCGGTTAAAACCGGTAGGTTTTTCACATCCCTAATCTCCACCCCCAGTAACTTCTGTCCCCAATGTTCCACAATAGTAATACTCTATGTGGTTGGCAAAATAATTCGTTACAATGTTCAAGAAAAATATATTTAAATATAATCTAAAGGCTCTAGAAAAAAATCGAATATAGATTTAAAAAATAAGAAGATTTGAAAAAGTTTATGTTTTAAATTGAACAAAAATAACTTTATATCGGTATATATACACAGACAAAATTAATTTGTATTAATCTGGATAACTTTGATTTTGTAAGTTTTGATAATAAACAATAATCAGGAACTATGATACATTTTTGATTTCGCATATTATGTACAAAATACAAATACATTTTAAGACGTTTACATTTGTGTAAAGAAACTTTAAGTAGCAAATTTATCAGGTGCTATTATGTAATTAAAGTGAATTGATTTACTCATTGATAGATAAGGCAATATAATTTTAAAAAATGAAGTATTTAAGATGTATCTCTGAAATTGTCTGTATTGCCGTTAATGTCTTTGCAAATATCTTATGTTTGGTCTTAAATAAAACAAATAATATAGAATAAGAAGATTCCCGTTGTTTGGAATGTGATTAGGATTGAAAAGAACTAACTTTGTACTTATAATATCACCTCTTAAGATAAGAACTTTAATTGTTTGTTGTATTAAACGACCCTGTTCACTTTGTGCTATTGTTCGATAGTGTAATGTTATTTCAATAGCTGTGGAAAATGGTAAGTAGATTTTAACGATTTATATCTAAATGGAGTATAAAATAAAGTATATTAATGCACTGTAATATTTAATTTGGGTCACAAAAAATTCCACAACGGTTTGCTATGAGAATCATTACTTGATACTTTTAAATTGTTATCGTAACTTTTTATTATATTCAATCGTCTTCAGTGAACTTTTGCCCCAGGATTAAAAATTACCTCTTTTTTTTCGTTTTGGTTTTTTATATGCAAGTTTAGTCTGTCATATTTTGTCGTATAAGTCAGGAAAAACACTAATTTAATTTTAGTATATATTGTCTATTGAAATATGTTGAATTGTTATTTATAAGCTTAACTTTTAAACTTAGGTGAGTTCACACACCTTCAGTCGTTTTGTCGAGGGATCTAATAGTACAGTAGTACATATAAGTAAATGCGCATGCATATTACATTAGTTTAAACTTAAACCATGTCATTGTCGGACAATAACGCGCTGGTCACTTTTTTATTACCGTATCACGCTCTTCTCGTGGATAATTTTCCTCAATTTTTTTATAGGTTTTTATATATCTTTATCTATCCCCTATCATGATAAACTTGACTTTTATTGCGCCACACACATGGGTCTTAGTAAATAGAAATAAAGTCTGCAGACTTTCTCGAAATTTGAACTCAGACGTCATCATTAAACTTTATAATTCTTCAGGATAACTCACAGTTAATTAAAAATACTTTTTATATGACGTTTCAACTTTTACCTAAAAGCCATATTACCAAACTCGTAAATCTCAAGCGTTGTCAAGCTTTTACAAGTTTTTATAAACACACGCCCAATTTTAGTTGCGCAAGTCAACATACACATGTAAAAAGCATAAAATTTATACGAACTTTCACGAGTGTATTACCATGTCTACAGTTAATGTGCTTATTGACATATTACTAAGCATATAACCATGTATGATTGTGCTATATATTTGTGCATTAATAATGTTTAAATAAAACGGTACGTCTGTTTAAGTATGCCGGTACGTCTATGAAAACCTTTACTACCTATTATATTTTGGCAGTCCACCAGACTTCTATCATCACATTTTTAGTTCCAGCTTATTAAATACTTAATAAATATGGTCTAAAAGGACCATATTTATTTAATCCAGTTTTAGACTTCGAAAGCTATTTCCAGTAGCAAAAAAATACATGGACAACCCATAGCTTTCTATTGGCCGAAATATAATTCTTCTATGAACTAACTTTTTTCTGGATAATTATTTTTATTTAGAAATTTATTAAAATATTTCTGTAAAATTCTGAGGTTTTCCGGGAAAGCGTCTTTTGCAACTTCAGCAACTAATTATTTAGAAAGTTAACGATAAGCTTTAGGCTCAACATTTTTTTGCTTATTTTTATTAAAACGCGTTTCATTTTTGGGAATGACTCATAGCATATTATCTTTACTTTATTAAAGATTTGAACTTGATTAGATAGTTTTCTTTTTTGATTCATTTTTACACAACTGAGTGATTTAAGGAACGGATTAATGATAGCACTTAAAAAATTCAAAATTCCACATACTCAGAAAATTAATAGAAATGACAATGAGAACTACAAAAATAAGCATAAACATAGAAAGAGGAAAGACAGAGGAATTCAGTATAAATAAAGGGACGAAACAAGGAGATGCCTTATCAACAACGTTATTTAATCTAGCATTAGAATATATACTGCGAAATATAAATAAAGGAAATCTGAGAACAAGAGGTGGTCAAATAATTGCATATGCAGACGATATTGCTATTATTGCACAGAACAGTCAAATAATGAAAGAAATGCTTGAAAAAATTAGAGAGAAAGGGGAGGTAATGGGGCTAAGATTAAATCGAGAAAAGACAAAAATATTAAGATTAGGAAAAAAACCAATGATAGAAAAAATCAAAATGGGAAATTCTGAGTTTGAAAAAGTAGAATACTTCATATACCTAGGAGTTACAATAAGTAAATCCAGAAAAAGAAAAGAACAAATATTAGCAGCGAATAAAACTTGTTTTGCAAACAAAAGATTACTTAAAAGTAAAACACTGAAAAAAAAAGAAAGATGAGCATTTATAACATCATAATTAGGCCAATATTATTATATGCAGGAGAAACAATGACGATGGTTAAAATAGATGAAGAAGACTTAAGAATAGCAGAGAGAAAAATTATGAGAACCATGCTAGGAACAATCGAACTTAAGGAACTTAAGGAAGACTTCGTAACTAAAATAAAGCAATGCAGAGTTAGATGGTTAGGTCACATTTGGCGAGCAGGCGATGAGGCAGTGACATACGCAATGATAGAATGGAATCCAAGAGGAAGAAATAGAGGGAAAGACCGAGATCAAAGTGGCTGCAAGAAGTTGAAGAATACCTCCAAAGAGCAGGATTCAGAAAGTGAAGACGAATAACTAGAGACAGGAAAAAATGGAGAGATATTGTATATCTCTTCATATATCTCCTTATATATATATATATATATATATATATATATATATATATATATATATATATATATATATATAAGTGATTCAACTCTTTTTTATATAATACACTATAAATAGGTACTAGACTTACTACTAAATGCTGTTAACGAAATACTGAACCTGTAAATAAACACTCCTATTCGATTCGATTACATGTTATGTATAATATGTATATATATATATATATATATATATATATATATATATTGCATATACTCTAGAAGGTAGATATTCCTAGACTTTAATAGGAGAAATTTTAAAATTTATTTTCTTGGCGAAAGGAAATATAATTTTAAAATTTTACCTTGTATTATTTTTTATAGTAGAGATTCTACATGTTATAGTTAGTAGATCAAATTGTAAATGTGCTTTTAACTCCATAGAAGAATACAGGGTGTTTCATTAGAAATAAAGATGATGAAATATGCTAGACTTGTGTTTAAAATTATTTCAATATATTTTATTCTATGTATAATTCCTAGCAATAAGATTTAATTGTCTAGACCGCAACCCTGTCAGCCCTCGGCAAAGTCGTTACAAATTTATAAGAACAGTATGTTTCCATATATGTTGCCATAAGAGCACTCAATAAAGAACGTGTGAAGAACTTGCATGAATCACAATCACGCTATACATTCAAATTTATACTTGAAAACGCACATTTGAATTCATAAGTTGACCGATCCTAGACTTCTTTTTTAATTTTCTAAAATAAATAATTTTAAAATGTATAATTACAAAATTTCACGCTGCATTATTCATATTAGATACTACATGATATAGTTTACTAACACCAGTTTGTTAAAAAACTGTTAAAAATATAAAAATATATAGGGTCTCGATAAAAATGAAGATGATTAGACTTCGCTATGCTAGACATGCCTAACTCATTCTCTAAATTTAAAATTTATGTTTAAAACTAACATTTGACGATTCTACTTAAACAAATTTTAACTTTGTTAAAAGTTGACGTGTTTGTGTGACGTGTGACAGGTCCGGATCTGCACCCTTCTTGCACCAAATGAGTGAGGAGGCAGATCCATAAAGACGTATAATTCATTTATTTATTATCGGATCTGTATTGTTCTTTTACCAGTCAATTTACCAAGTTTTTTTATTTATGACATATGTTTTCACCCCCAATGGTCCAAATATGGAGCTGCATCCTTCTTACTTAGAGGACTAAAATATTAGAGGAGACTTTTATTACTACGTAACAAAATTGATTTAATTTGTATGTTAAGAACGATTTCCATAGTGGGAATTAAGACGTAAAAATAAACTTATTTTAAGATACACTTGTGGCTTATTCAAAGTAAATCGTATTAATATGCTACAAAAAATAGCTTTCTAACTATATTAGTTATTTATACACTATTTATAACTCAGTAACACCTAAACAAATTGTTATAACATTTGATTTGATGGATTTATCTTATAATTCAAATATATAAAATTTTTTTGTGATACTCGCCTTGATTAACTATTGATTATGAGACATTCGAAAACAATCTATGCAAAGTCCAATATTGCATTTGTAGCACATTGTTCGTCCTCTATTATTGCAATTATCACCCCCACATCTTCGTCTTTGACCTTCGGGGACTGTAATAATGTAATGATGCATTCTATCATACCTAATATGATTGCTAACTCGAAAATCACTCGCTGCTGCTTTCGGTGTTCGTCTAGTAGCTTTCGGCTGTACCCTGTATCTTATTAAATACGTCTGAAGTAAAGAAAAAAATCACAAGAGTACTACTGAATGGCTTCCTTCTACCTGTTTATGTACCTGGTAAATACTTCATCGAAAATCTAGTTGACTAATTTTTCGGCCACTTTTTCTGTACAAAATCTATGCATTCTGAAATGCAACGTCAATTAGATAAGTAAATATAGGCCAGTACCATTTCTTTGACATAATACCAATGCGTTAACTAAAATCAGATAAAAAATAATATTCTAAAGGTAGATAAACTTACCAAGATATGTTGTTGTTCATTTGGTCAGTTCCACCCATATTTTTATTGTATTGCGCTCTAAGATTAAGCCTTGGTATGGGAAGTATTTTATTTTCTTTTCTGTTAAACCTGTCTCCTGCCTTCACTAGATCAATACCATAACTCGTACTAGCAAGGGTGTCAACATTATTGTCCATCTGTCCAACATACACTATTCCAGTTTCACTGTCTAAAATGTATGAAGTGTCCTCTTTTTTGTTTTTCAACCTCCTTTTTTGACGGAAGAGGGCAGTCCGTTGGCAAAAGGTTTTCCCTTATAGTACCGGTTCCACTATAACCATTAGCTTTTAGAGTACATAATAATCTTTTTTAATTTGTAAACGAGTTATCGAAAAAAAATTATACGGAAAATTTCCTTTTTCCTTTAGTTCCTCAATAATTTGCAGTAGGGGAGCCGTTGATTTTCCAAAAATTAATTCATAATAAGAATTTGATCTGGGATTTTTTCCTTGGTATACTTCAAAATTCACCAAGTTAAC